GAGAGAGAGAGAGAGAGAGAGAGAGAGAGAGAGAGAGAGAGAAAGCTGAAACCGAGGTCAGTACTAACCATTGTTAGCCGTTTCGCAACGCACAATCTGGCTCTTCCGTCGTCAACAGAACGCGCGCCAGGTCAATCTAAACCGGTGGTCGACGGTCGACATCCGTTTCCGAGGGGTGTTTAAGACCCTTAAGAAGGTACCGCTCTTTCGCAAGGGCTTGTATGAAGATGATGCAGGCCATGGGGATCCTCCGGCGCGGGGATACGACTTTGCCACTGCCGTTAGGGCCCAAGGACAAGTCGTCTATGCGCTCCTTGACGAGATCCTGGGTGCCTTGAGCATCACGCGTGAAACAGAGGATCCCGAGTCTTATTTTTATCTTCGGTAAGCTTTCCCTTAAGCTCAGCTGTTTCAAATCTCCCCATCCGCTACCTGGAGTCGTAGACTTCCTCTCCATTTGTGACGGAGTAAAATGCTGAATCAGGGCTGACGGGCAAGCAGTGCACGACTGCTCAACTGTCAATTGGAATACTGGACTGGATATCGCGAGAAGTACAAGGATGCCCCGATTACGGCGGGATTGCTAGCCCTCGAGTATTACCCGGAGCAACACTCTACGCGTGCGGTTCTCCCTGTTTCTACAGTACGTCCTGCCTAACTCTCTATCGTGTGCATTGCATCCCAGCGAACGTAACTAAGCTCAGGGTTCTCTTACAGACAACAGAGAAGCATGAATTGCTGAAATCAGCCCTGGAAGGAAAGTTTCAGCTGCTGCTCTCGCAGTTGCTCATGAACATCCACCGCTTGCACCCCCCTGGCGACAAGTTCCCCGACCAAGAAGTGTTTCTGATCGGCCTGCACGGATCCCGGTTGCATATATTTCGGGGTATCTTCCCCGGACACAAGACCTCTCGGCTCTGGAGCGGCCGGCACAATGCATCCGGGACCGACATGGAGATGAGACGGCTCGTTGTCAGCAATGCCAACCAGCGGTTCTACGGCCGGCAGAATCTGGAGCAGTTCATGCAGAAGGTCGAGTGGCTCCAACTGTCAACCTCTGACAGCGAGCCGGACCCGCGCGTCTTTCGCATCCTGGGGAGTAAAGAGTACGATCTGTGGGTCGAATCGGACTTTTACGCTGCGCTGCGCTTGCTGGTGGGCTTGGTCATGTATCTGATGAGCGGACGCGCACGGTGTGGCATCCTCCAATATAGTTTTAGTTGCTCGCCGTACGACGAGGATGACGAGCCCGACTCGGAGGATGAGGAACTGCGAAGGAAGGCCGCGCAGGAGGAAGAAGATGTGGTCTCACAGGAACAGAAGCTGAGGGCCTTGAAGAGGCAAAAACGGGAGGAGGATCAGGAGCGGTTCTGGAGACGAGAGGCAATGCGATCATCAACCAATGACCGCATTGGAGGATTCAAGGATTTTCGTCAACCGTGGTGGGACTGGGTCTGGGAGGACAAGCATGATGACGGATGTGCTAAGGATGATGCCGACGTGGTTTTTGAAGGCCCTTAACCGTTGCCCATCATTTGGTCAACAAATGAGCCGCTGTAAGACGGTCCAGTGGGGGACAAAGGGACCTGAGAGAAAGACAGACGCGTCCCATTCACAGCAAAACTGAGATTGTTCATGTCTACCTGAGAGAAGCTCGTAACATCCCATGTGCAGTTACCACACATAATCCACAGTATTACTCCACAGACGTCCTACTCGCGATCCCTATGCCGCCTTTCGGATTCAAATTCGGTGAACCCATCAATACCTCGTCCATCCTGTCCACCGGTTCGGAAATACTCGCTGACAACACCCAGGGCATAGCACGTTGCTGCCGTGGCAAACCCACCGATGAGCATCCGGCGTAGGATTGTGCCGATTCTACTTCTGCTCTTTCGAGGAGGTACATTGGTCTCAGAGCAACCGGAGCCAGATACAGGGCTCGCGGTATTGGCGGTATTTGATCGACATGAAACCTCATCGCTGAGCAAGGGTTCGTCTCTCACATAGGCACCAAGCTCGCTCTTTGCGTTCTCCGCGAGAGCCTTTTTGAACACAAGTATATCTCCGCCACCCGAGACGATCTCATAGCCATCGACTTGCATCTCTTCAAAGTATGGCAAGAACTTGGATGGGTTATTCAAGCGGGGAAGAATTTCAGATGGGTGAAGAAACTCGTGCGTTGTATGAAAGGATGAGTTCGATTCCGCTCGTGTGATCTGCAGGGTCGAAGGATCATATGCTAAAACGCGGTAAGTGTCGCCGATTAGAGAGCTGCCTGCGGGGGCCGGGGTGTTTTTGCGAGCTTGCTTGCCAGGACATGATGCGTCTGTGTGATCTTCTTGCACAGGTAATCCAGAGTTATTGGAACTATCTTCCTCTGACTGAAGTTGAGCCGTACTTTCCAGCATGGCGGGCCCGCTTCTTGTTGTTCCGTTCACTGACGATGCAGGCACAGGTTCTTGAAACCTTGCTCTCACATCTTCAGCCCTGACATCGCTGACAGGGTCTACATAAGAGTCAAATGCAGTATCCAAGTCTTTGCGCGTCTTGTGCCGCGCCTCGGGATCTCCCTTCAAGCTCTTTGCGTTATACAACGAACGGATGTCGCTAGCACGCAGGAGGTCCAGATCCTCTGCCATTTCTTCCCTTAGCCGTGGTTCCTGTTGCTGGGCTGGACCTACAACTGCGGAGCTTGCGGATTGATAGTGGCCTGGGTTGAATGCCGGAAATCTGGAAGAGGTTTGATCTTCAAGTCCATTCGCTTGTGTTTCGTGGTCCGAATCGAGTTGTTCTTTCATGGCGCTTCTATGACGTTCCACTTCTGATGTCGGCCGTTCGAGGGAGTCCTGATGTGGACGAGGTTCACCGAGCGTAGCCCCGTCTGTGTTCGTGCCCGCTTGTCCCAGAATATATGATGGATCTGCCTGATTTTCCTTCACCGACTCGAAACCCTGGAGTGTACTCGCACCATCGTTTGGATGCTCGTTCGCCCGATCGACAACAGAGAGGTAGCCGGTCCGGTTCTCATGCTGCGTGCGTTTCCCGACAAGGGTGTCCGAAGATCCTCCGCCACGTGTCTCAGCGGTGTGCTTGGATGATTTCTTAGGAACCATACGACCACGAATGGGATCATATTCAACGTCCTGCACATCCCTGTCCTGAGCAACGTGACTGGTTCTATCAATCTCGTCTGGTTTGCCCATGCCGAAAACCGAACGACACACTGACATAATCCTATTCTCCATGTTACTGGGGAAGCTCAACGGCTGAAGCCTTCTCCCGAAAAGAGCTGTGTATGGATCGGTGGCGATTTCCTTCCGAATCTGCTCCATCCTCTGCTGCATACGGGCACTTTCCGCTTCCCAGAAGCTCATCTGAGGGCGTGCTGCATTCTGTGCGGATCCCGGGGTGCTGGGTTTGGACCTCGTCTCGTCCCACCTTGTAGTCCACCACGGGTGACGGTAGTGGTGTTGATGACCCCATACTGCTGGGGCTGGGGCTTGTCGTGGATGAACAGCTGGTGTGCCACCTGATCTTGATTGAGAAAGGCGTTGATACCGGGTTATCCGTATCCGTGTGTGGGCATCGGCGTTTCCATATCGTTGGCGAGAACATCCCCCTAGTGTTCGGACTTGAGTGGAGCTCTTGACGACGTGGGAGGAGAACGGGTGTGGTGTCGGGCTCGCCGATAACGATCTGGTAAGTCTTATCGCTCTCGGAGTCGACAGCGGTAGCGGGTACAGCATGGTTGCAAACAAATAGTATCACATTACAGGCTAACTAAAGTAGAAAGAAGCAGAGAGCGTCACATCCCTTGTAGCAATCGATGACGTGGGGGGAGAGAACAGCAATTGGACGCCAAAGGCGGAAGAGAGCTTGGAGTGGGGTCATCTGATTAAGGTTGGCGGCCTGAGGCAGACAACCCCTTCCATATCCTCCGCACTCCGCACTCCGCACTCCGCAGGTGGACCGTATGTACATAATTCTTTAGGATCACAGCTACCAAAACCCACTTTCTCGCTTAAAAAGGCCACGAGCATATAATAAACCCCTCTGGCAACATTCAAAGAATAGATGGACACAAAATTGCCTTCTACCCACAGCATGTCAACTCCTCGCACAACGTTCCGCATAGCACTTGGCATTTCTCCAGCGATCTCTTGCGTAGCTCCTGCATGGTCTCCGCCGATTCATGCTCCGTAGAGATGGCCTCCGCCAGGGGACATGTTTCCGGCTGGAGTGTTGCTGAATGGATACCGTACGCATGAAAGCATTCATTCATGGTCTTGGTCGTTTTCGCAAAGTTCTCCACGGACGGATCGGAGACCACGACGTGGACCGATGCCAGAGTCTTGTTCTGATTCAGACGCCAGATGTGAAGCTCGTGGATGGCTAAGACACCAGGTACCTATGCGCATTGATCAGTATTGAAGTCCAGAATGCGAAGACAGTTCACGAAGATGGCTTCTCCGGATACTGATCCTGAAGGAAGACTACGTGCCTTTTCTAGATCGTGTTTCACGTCCGCCGGATCCAACCCGTTCGGAGCGCTCTCCAACAGAATAAGGCCAGATCGTCGCACTGTACATAGTCTTAGCCGAGTCCCCGCGTAATCTAAGATGAGATCAAGATACCGAGAGGAAGTGAAGACAGCATAATCATCATGGCGATCCCCATACTCGTACCTGGGTCTGCATAGTATCTGCCCTCATAGTGTGCCAGCCAGATCACCAGGGCTGCAGTCATGACTCCCAGGTTATTGGCCGCATCGCTGACCACGTGGAGCAAAACACCTAGCATTCCCAAGTCGTGTCCCAGGGAGGTCGGTTGTGTGCCGTGCAAGTGGTGTTTGTGATTACGATGCTGCATGGTGGTGATCGTCAGTAATTATCATCACATTAGGATCAACTTCCCACGAACGAACCTCAGAGATATCTGACTCATGGCTGGTAGGTGGAATAGGGGACAACGGTGCTGCCGAATGTCCATGATGGCCGTGACCGTGGTCATGTTCTGCCCATCTTTCAGTCTTGTATCACAACCGAGCAAAGCCCTCTTTACCAGAGACGAGACGCACCATGCAGGAAAATTGCGCTGATCAGATTCAGACCCAAACCCACCGCGCCCATGATGAACATCAGCTTCGGATTCTCCACGTCTAACTTGGATCAGCGGTGACGTGTCTGATTCGACAGGAAGACCAACACTGCAACGAAATGAATCGCTCTATCGACTGTAGGAATACGCTGATCCCCAGGGCGAAAAGAAGCGCACCGTTGAAGAACGCGCCGAGTAGCTGGGCTCGCTGCCATCCGAAGGATAAGGATTTGGGTGCATCGTTTGTCTCGGACACCTATGGTCAGGGGGATCGGAGTCCACACGTTAGTCGTTTGGGTAGTCTTTGGGAAGACTCAAGGCATCCTACCCGGAGAGCCACCAATGCTACGATGAAACCGATCAGGTCGTTTAGCTAGATGCTAATTAGCAACGCCTCCACGCAGTTCCTCCGTAGGCATGAATCCGTACATAGTGGAAGGCATCAGCGACCAAAGCCAAAGAATGCGTATAAAATCCGACTACGAGACAATCTCAGCGACTATCCTTCACTCAGACGACTGAGCCTGAGACAACAGGGGCAAACACTGGGGAACGCGAGGAGAGGGAAGAGGCAGAAGAACAAGGCGTGTTTACTGGAAATCTCCGCCACGAAGAAAACCGTGGAAATCCCAATCACGGCGGACAAACGCTGTGAGCGCGTGATTTTGAAGCCCATCGTTCCGCTCCTTTTCGTGCAGTTCGATGTTGACGGTGGAAAGCAAAGGGGGGAACATTCGAATCGAATCGATCTCAATTCCAAACGCGACCAAGGAAGAGTCGGAGAGTTTCACCCCCTTGCGTGGAAATGGCCTCTGGAATGTATGATGCCCTCTCAACGGGCTGAAGGGGGAAGATGAAAAGAGGCAGAGAAGAGAGTACGCCTGTCTTTCGATCCCGACGGGGGTGAAACAATTCCGCAGTGAATTGGCAAATGGATCGACATGAGGTGGAACATGGCCATTATCGGACAATTGTCATGCAGAAAGTGACCGGAACCCTGGATGGCTCCCAAAATAGAATGTGTGCATACAATCACCAGGCTGCGATTGCTACTGGCTTGGCCCTGATGAAGTCCAGTCTCGTGTTGCCAACCCGAGGGACTTGGGAGAATTTTAAATGCAGCCGAGCGGGAAAGTGTCAATGAGCAGTCGCCGTCCTCCGTACGGATCTTGATTTCCCCTTCATCTTCTTGCTCTTTGCAAAGTTACAGCAGCTCCGTCAGGCCCTGACTAGCCGTCCAGTGGCGTCGTGATCGAATCGGTCTGCATACCAAGTAGGGCTGGGGATCACGTACCGAATTCAAAAACCGGGGGACCGTTCCACTGTTGGACGTCGTAACGGACATGCATCCCTCAGGATGAGCCACACACGTCTTGCTGCGGAACGCGTTATGACGTGCCTTCATACCATGGCGTGGATATCTTCAATATGTTCATACTCATGGCCTTGCAAAGTGCCACACATCTATCTACGTCGATATGTACATTCCACGTGCAAAGGAGACAGAGAGAAAGAAGGAAAGTAAATCGAATGGTATACAACACCCAAGTCTATTGCGATGAAATGGCAGGAACGTAGGACCAATGTGGAGCCCTCATCACATATTATCCTCGCTCCAATGACTTCTCGCTTTTATCCATGCGTCGTGCTCGCTTTTCCCCTGCTCAGCATCCATCCCGACCCCCAATCCCCGCTCCACCCATTGCTTGCTGCCCATCTCGGAGAGACGCGAGAGGGCCCGAGCAAACGCAAAGCGCTCCTCGTCGCCGCTGAAGATGGAGGTGGACTTGAGGGCTTGCATGGAGAGGCCAAGGTCGTCCATCATCATACGCATCGCGTCGGAGAGATCGCTGCCTTCGCCTCCTTGGAGAGAGCTCTTCACTTCCGCCTCAGAGAGGAAGAGGTTGGTCAAAGGCACTTCCGTGGTCAGGACTAGTTTGGCCTACAGGGGATTAGTCGAGTTCTTCTCTGTGCGGGGTGAGTGCTTACCCTGCTTTCATAGACGGCATCAATGAAAGTAATGAACCGACGCGCAAGATCGCGCTGATTCAAGTTCATTCCGGGGACGTCCGTGATGATGAAGGCGTCATAGTTCCGGACCAACTCCAGGTAGTCCGCAGCTCCTGTCGCTCGACCGATCAACTGCTGAAAGCTAAACTGAGCGGCTCTGCCACTGGCCAGGGGAACCTCGATCTTGCGGCCCCAGACCTCCTGCGTTGCTGGGTGGGGGGATCTTTGGGATCACCCAGGAACTCGAACCATTTCTGGGCGTGTTGATCAGCATCCAAGCCCAGTGGGTGGTGGTAGACGCCGGAAGGCGGTCGAGGGATTTTGCGGTAGTCTGTGGGAGAGTCCAAGTTGATCACGTCCAGAGCGGTCTTCAGGAGGTTGATGCACGGGATGAACGACTCCCGCTGGATGCCGTTCTTATACAGATCGTCGGGGTGCCTGTTGGAGGTGGTGATGAGCACGACCCCATGGGACATGAGGGACTCCAGAAGCCTCCGCAGGATCATAGCATCCGCAACATCCGTGCACTGGAACTCATCGAAACACAGCACGCTCGATTTCTCGGCAATGGCCGCTGCTACCAAAGGCAACGCATCAAAATCATTGCCGTACCGCATTTTGACCACATGCATGCGCCTGTGTACGTCTTGCATGAAGTTGTGGAAATGGATCCGAGACCTGGACACGATGTTCGACGGCAAGGTATCGTAAAACAAATCCATGAGCATGGTTTTCCCACACCCGACATCTCCGTACATATATAGACCTTTCGGGAGGCTCTCGGGGACGGTTAACTCTTCCTTCGCCTTGCCACGTCCGAACAAAGAGCCCAGGAACGACGTTCTCGGCTGAGGATCCAAGGTTTCGGGATTCGGATGGATGACGGTCGGAGGGTGGTAGCTTCGCAGCCTTTCGTGAAGGTCTTGTAGCCTCTCAATGATCTCTGCGCGTCATGCCATCGTCAGCATTCACCATGTCCCTTGGGGTTGATCGTCGACAGTGAAGAAGAGGGTAGGACGTACGTCTCTGGTATGGGTCATCCCGTAGGCGACCCTGCTGCACCCGCGAATCATATTCCCTTAAAGGACCACCCTGTAGCTCAGACGCAACATCCGACCTAACCTTGTTCGCCGCTGCTGTCGCGTACCGTCGCATATACTCATGACGAGGCTCACGGGTTTTCAAGCCGTGGGTTGGATGAACGATTGTCGGGGTTGGTGTCCGGGAACGGCCCACACTGGCATGTGACCGATGTGCACCTCGTCTGCATTGTCTGACATAGGCCAGCCTCGTACCTCGAGGCAGTATCGTCACCCTTCGAGACCCCAGCGTGGCTGGAATGTACTCCACGCAGAGCCTCGCCGCCGGCCCGCTCACTGGCATCGATGCGGTATCTCCAACAGTTCCTTGAACTTTTGCGTTCCTTCCTTTCGGTTTTGAAGTTCTCCTGACTCGTCGAGAGTTCTTGCGCACTAGGATCCACGCATGTAGGGGTGTATCGTTTGCCGCGCAACAGGATTTGTCTTGAAGCCGAGGTTACTGATCGCGAATCGGAATGACGGAGGAAAATCACGGCGGCGGGTGAAGGGTGGGGAACACCTGACCGAAAGTAGTCAGTCGTTCAACTTCAGTGCGATTGCACATATCAAACTCGGGACAGGGCCAAGATAGTAAGCTTACCGATTGTGAAGGGAGCAGAGAAGCGTCCACGACAACTTGTATAATCAAGTCCTGGCGTGAGTTTGGATCGGAAGAAGTTCTCCCGTTTTGGACACCACCGCCTTCCGTTCTGAGTCTTCTAAATGCCTTACGTCCCAGGATCCACTATTTTCCATATCCGCACCGCCTCACGGCACTTTGGATCCGTGCAGCGTTCGCCAGCACAACTCAAAGATGTCTCGTAGGAGAATTCCGCTGTTGAAGGTAACCAACCAATGGCTGTTTCTCTTGGGAGATGTGATCGCAGAACTGTAGAATGCGAGGAAGCTTAGAGATGCTTCGATTTCCTAACATTTCTGGAGTGGCTGAACTCGTTCTTTGATTGCTGTGGGCCCAGTTGAAAATCGGACGTACTATGCTTCTGGCATAGTGAGTGCAAGGTGGGCCATCTGGAGACGCAATTCCTGTCTGTGCCTGTCGGTTCTCGGAGCCGTTGTCATTGAATCGAGCTACCTGAAAGAAAATGTTCCTTGTTATACTCACACATGTTACCTCCTTCGATGTCTGAAACCATTGACCAGGTCTCTTCGCTCCAGGTAAGGAAGCCCATAACCAGCGAGGCAAGGGTCTATCCGTCTACTTCTTGCGTTGGACTGGGCTCCCTCGATTATGTGATCGTTAGAGAAGTGCTCAAAGAAAAGAATGGCACTCTGGAACGTCATTCTATCCAAACAGGCAAACTGGACCACGCCCTACGGTTTCCAATGTCATAGTGGGATCCAAGATCGTACAAAGGGAATGCAATCGAGGCAATGATGTCCTCCATCTATAGTCGACATCTCCAAAGCGTACGTGCTCAATAGTGGCCACGGATATCGAACGCTGATCTCGACGCCTCTTCCTGTCTTATAGAACACTCATAATACGTTGGCTGTATATCTGTAGTTGTGACCACTCTATCTTAGAGTTGCTCTTTAGGGAGATCATGAGATGGCTCGTACGTTTAACGAAGTGTTGATCGTGTCCCTTGTACGTCACTCAGTTCCGTCAGTGATATGCTATTGGTGTCTTGCATTGTATCGCTTTGACCAACAAGACCCATGGATGGAGACGTCCTAATACAAACCCTGGAATACATTCGATGAATGATAGTTCGGCTTGCAACTGTTCGCGAGTCTTCCGATCTGGTGTAGAAACACGTGTGGCGGCACGGCTTTCTTGATGATCCTATGGATCTCCACAAATCCTGCTATTTTTATCGGTTCTGGTGGCCTTTTGCCCTGATGGTCCTGATGACAGCCGTGGAAAAAGCATTGAAATCTCAAGGGAGCCTCATCTGCTGCGGATCTCCCTGTTCCTTATTTGGTGAACCTTCTCCTCACCCGATTTATCGGCCATGCTCTCTTTGTTACTAGTAGTCAAACCATGGGTCGATCTCCGTATTACAGCGATTCTTCCTTATCACGCAGTCAAAAGTGCAGTATCACCGCATGTGCTGGAAGGTGCAAGAGGAGTAGGTACACACTTATCAAGCCAGGTGGCTCACTTAAAGTCACTCCTACCACCAGCACATCTACTTCATCTGTGAGCCTGCCCATGCTAGAAAACAAAGTGGTATGTTAGAACATCTCAGCTTGGTTGAAGGCCTCACGCCAGATGCCTTGACTCTTAAACGAATGCTTTGGCGTCCATGACATGGCTATAGCCATGGTCACCAGTGAAATATCTTAATCCTTGTATGCGTCGGGAAGAGCGCTGATAGCCGTGGACAACAGCAAATATCCTCCCTATAGGGGTGAGTGTGGGCTTGCTGTGCTGTTCTCCAGATTCTTCCCTGAGCCCTTCAATTGTACTGTGTTCTACCTTCGTTTTCGCTAAGGATGTGATGCTAAGTCATAGCGCCACGATCACGCTTTGTTTCCTGTGCCCTTTTCACAACCATGATTGACGGTGGTGGAGGGCATTGTCGGCAACATTTGAACTGCCATGGCCCTTCAACCTATCCTTGGCCACCATTTCCTCCTGGTGGAGCTCCTGGGGTAGGCGCCTATAATGTCTTCACAGTGACTCGAAATCCGATGACTATGTTCGATGAAGGCCAAGCCATTGTGCCTCAAATCACTACGTGAAAGTGATCAATCCCAACTTGGAGATCAATGAGTTCTCAGCAGCATTACTTAACAACATTCGATCAACATCGAGATTAGATTCCCCCAAACCGCCTAAGACACGCCACCGAAATAGCGATGGTCTTCCCATTCGAGAGATACGTAAAGCCCATCACTCGCGTGACCTGCCAGGCGTCAGTAAGCTCGCTCGGTCCCTGACTGTTCATCAGATGTACACACCTTCCGTTATGATTTGAAGCGAACTTTCAATCTTTACAACGGTGTATATCATCTCCACCGGATTAAACCTCGTTCTTTGGGTTGCCATAGTCCTAGTCATGGTCACCTCCCCCCATCGTCTGAGAAATACCTCTGTAACCAGATAAGTAGGACAAGGTGCCATATATCGTTCCAGACAGACACACTAACAGAGCCGATACACAAGCAGACTGTTTCGTGCTGGGTGGCGAAAAGAGTAAGGATCTGTCGAAACGCCCATTTGAAGTACTTTATGTATCCCACCCAGGTTCTCACGTTGGATCTCGGTAGCGCAGGGGACTCTTCGCAAAGGGAGCGGTGGAATGCGCTGAAGCGGGGTATGCGCTGTCAAGCCAATTGAGGTTAAACGGCATCATAGAGGCAATAGTGTTTCAGGCATTCAAGACTTCGGCGGGCTTAAAACCAACTTCGCCCCAGTACAAACGTCAGCAAACTGCTCTTTATTTTGCGCTCTTTAGGCTTGCCTACTGCTAAGACTTTGGGCCTATTATCACAAGAAGCATGACTTCTCAGAAAAGGCCGGCCAGCCTATCATCAGAGGAAACCTACTTTGATGATCCGTCTGATGAAAAGGTGGATAGTGAATGGGAAAAGATAAAACAAGGCCCAGCCAAGCGAGTTGCATTTGAAAGAAGGTGTATTGAACATGAGCTTACAAATGAGAAACGGGTGATCATATTGCAAGACAACCCTAGCACCAGAAGCCACTGTCGCTTCTGGAAATGCATTCCTACTAAGTTAAATGGGGAACCTAATATTAGGTCTGCATTTCGCTTCAATGTCAAGGACCTTTCTGGTCGTTCCTACGGTAAGTTTCAACGATCTGCAAAAACCCTATTCCAAATATCACAAGGCTTAGAACCGAACAAGTACTACCATGTATCTTGCATTGAGCAGATATTTCCCGACCTAGCTGCCCTAATAGAGCACCGGGATTTGCGAATGGACGGAGTAACCCAGATGGCCTCAGCCAGCTGGCAAATATCCCGCTTCCACAACGCCATTGAAGATTAGTTCCGCTACAAAGGCTACTCCTTCGACGTGAAAACATACGATCGTCTTGAAAGGAAATATGCCAAGTGGAACCGGAAATCAAGCACGTCAGAGGTTAACCATCAGCTCGAAGCTCATAGGGCGGCTCTCGGAATTGTGAGAAGTGTGGAAGCATACCGGATGAACCGCTGAGAAAGGACTATTTTCCTCAAGAGCCTCAAAGCTGTCTGCTAAGTGAGGTTCTTGCATCTGTAATTGGCGTGCAACATTTGATGGAGTACCTGTAGATGGATATTCAAACCTTCGGCGTATTAAGGAGGTTCGGCGCAGCTAGAGCAGGTTTTTATTGCTTTTTATTTTTATTTTTGGGTGGTATACGGTATCGTATATTTCTGATTTTGACCTGGCACGAATGGGGATCAGAGATGTCACAGTGGCTTCATTTGCTTGTACAGAGGTGCTTTTTTGAACCGTAATCACATGGTGCGCTAATCCCGATATGGTCATATGGTATGATACCCTTCCTTTTACGCTTGAGACTAGAATTCAGATATGCCCTCACTAATGGTAACTTGACTGCCCTATACTCTCTTAATCAAGCGTTGGAATGTGCCAATACATGCTACAAAAGAAAGAGATACATTATTAGCTAATCCATGAAGCGCGGCCGTTACAATAGTATAGACAGTCGGTCTCACAGGAGTCTCGGAAAGTTCTATAAATCTACGATCATCTGGAAATCGGCGGTGTATTAGCTGCGAAATTCGAGCAAGGTGCTTTGCATGGGTAAAAAGCTCATAAGTCGCATATAACAAGAGGTGTGATGATAGTAGTTATACTTCCATGATGAAAAAGTCGGCGAGAGGCTGTCGAGCCTGTGTCAGCGACTAGCAGAAAGTTGGTTGAGGCATACATTGCTGCGGAAGGTGCAAATCCGTCCAGGTAATCCCTTATATCCTTGCCAATGACCGTATTAGCCAAGGATTTGGCAACCTACAATCCATTGTTTACAGAATGAACACCAGTACTAATTGACCTTCTTTAAAAGGTCCTTTAGCTGCCTCATGAGAAGTCTTCCTTTCGACTTGAAGCTTAGCTTCGGATCCTGTTCTGCTGGTGACTCATCTGACAATGCAGTGGACGTGATGTTGTTTTCGGACATTGCTTGTTGAGTCGCAGACGCCTGTCTTGTTCTGGATTCCTTCATCAGATCCTTGTAGAAAGCAACAAGGGTCCTCTCCGATAACAGTCGATCAGGATGGTCTTCGGCGAGCACTTCCGATTGTATTGCAACAACATGTTCTAGCAGTTTGACCGCCTCCTTGATCTGTCCATTCGCTTGATATGCTAGAGCGAGCTCATGCTGTGATGCCAGTCGATCAGGATAGTCTTTAATAAGCATTTCCGTACGTATTGCGACAACATATTCTAGTAGTTT